TTTTGAGAAACTCCCTGTTTTCCAGGAAAATGTCAGAGCTGACTGGGAACTGAAGAGTTTCATCTTTCCATCAGACGAAAACTGCTGGTAGACTAAATGTAAGAAGCCAGCCAGTGAGTTTAGCACACACTGTCACTTCAGTGCTGAGATCAGGAACAAAACAGCAAAGCAGCGGCCAGTTATTACCAGCTGTGTTGCCAAAACGAAACGTATAGGAATATTGCTTTCTTCTGTTTTGTGTTCTTTGTTCAGTGAATCTGCTATTAGAGCAGTGAATAAATGCAACGTTGTATTAACCTCTGATGATGTTTGTGAACTTGCATAGAAACCAATGAGTGTTAGTTTTTGTGGTGGACTCACTTTGCCACTGGTGTTTGTTACCCTCTGGGAGAGAAAGGGAAACTAATAACCCAGCGTCTTCTGCCCCAGATTCAACCTCTAGTTTTTATTGTTTATTATTTTCACACATTCATTAGTTTATTCATTCATCTGTTTCTTCATGCGTTTTCAGGAAGAGGTGTGTTTTGTTTCACACATTTTAGAGAAAAACTAAGTGGGAAGCTTTTCTTTTTTCTGTCTGCATGTGTAAGTAATAACTTCCCTAATGGCTCCAGACTCTGTTGGGTATGCTGCAAACAGGCGCACACAGAAACACACCCACGGGAGTGCTGTAGGGCCACGTGAAACACATTTTCTCTGTAACTTTTGTTGTTGTTGCTGTGTGGAGGGTGGTGGGCTTTAATCGGTGTTGGCCTCCCTGAACTGTTATCAGCTTATAAATCTGGCCATGGGAGCGATGGCTAATGTAGCCCGACACAACGGACCAAACATGAAGCAGACATGAAGGAAAGAGAGAAATGGATGGAGGAGGATCACAGGGAAGTTAGAAAAAACTACGAAGACCACAACAATGACAGAAAGTCAACAAGGATATTTCTAACAAGTGTCGCTACTCAGGGCATGTTTGGCGCCTAGTGGTTGATGCATGTGTAGCTGAGAAACACCACGTCCTGGCCCACTGTCACCGGGGTTAGCAGACTGTATCTAAACCTGTAAGGATTATAACTTTAGTGTGATACACTCTATGTAATTGATTAAAAACAAAATCTCTGAAAATATACTGATGAGCCTGATGAAGTTCAGTGACATGAACAGAATTAAATGAGAGCCCAAGAAAGAGACACGAGACTAACAGAGAGAACAAGTGCAAAAGTGTAAAGCTGCAGAGACAGCTGTAGAAACAGAGGAGTGAAGAAAGGGGTGTGACCAAAAGAGGAGAGAAAGAAACATAGAGGGAGGAAGAGGGGGAGGGCTGAGAAATAACAGCAGAAGAAGACAGAAAAAACATGAGAGAGAAGAGGAGAAATTGAAATGAAGTAGGAGGGAGGGAGACAGGAGAAGGGAAGACGACATGGTGGGCAGACACGGTGGTCCTCAGACGTCTGCCTGTCCTCCTCTCATCATTCACTCTCCTCGTCTCTCATTCCTCTGTCTGACTCGTCGTCCTCCCATCTGTTTCTGGCTTCCCCTGTGTTTCTCAGTGGGTTTTGGACTCGGAGGATTCCCAGTTCAGCCTCATTTGAAGGAATCGTTCACCTGGGAAGGTTAATTAAATCAGGACGCTGACCTGCACCACACTGATGGAGTGTGTATTTACACAAAACAATCACCTGATCACATTTCGACCAGTTTCAGCGAAACCTCCAAACAGCTCATGAACCTCTGTTAGATGTTAAGGTCTTACTTATCAAGCAACAGGTTTTTAGCTTCTGCTTCACAAATACCCAGAGTGTGTGAAGCCATATGTATATACTGCTGACAACATGGCAGGGTGTGTTAAGCATCACATAATGTGACAGTGAAGTGTAATCATTGAAACAACAGTAATTAGATCCAGGCAGACGACGGTCTAACTTCACTCCAGCTGCAGGTCAACCAATGAAGGGCTTTGCCATCCCCAGGTAACTAAAGCCTGACTGGTGCATGTTATCAGCTCACCGTAGCTTGTAATAGCTCTAATGTAAATAAACTGTAGATTAGTATTGGCATATATGTAGGCCAAGATGTTACAAGAAACACAAGTGCCAATATGTCAAAGGTATTTTTAAGAACAGTGTGTTACTCAGTAAACTCTGTACATCTTTCACAGTTCATTTAAGTGTTTATGTTTATTTCTTTCTTTCTTCCAGTAAGGTCCTGAAGAGTCAGTCTCTGGTCATAATGCAGGACAAGAAGGAAAACATTCAGTTTGTGCACAGGAACAAAAAGAGTCATTATTATCCCTTTTTTTTGTTTTGCTTGTTAAACAAACACAATCACAAAATATTTCACCAGTTTTGACATATAACTACCAAACCAAGGTTAGTGACAACCTGATGAACATACCAGAACATCTGGCAGTTAAAATGGCCCGAGTTAAAGTGAATATTACAGTAATGCCCACATGACTTCAGAACGCTACTCTGTGTCTGCTGGATGTGTGAATAGTCGCCTGGCTGACCACACTTACGCCATGACAACTTCATAAGATGATAACATGTCAGGGCCGAGGGTCTGTCAGTGTAATGTGGAGCTCTTCTGCTGCTGTGTGGCCGAAAGCACAGCTCAGCATTTCAGAGTGCACAGATACAAATGTGTAAGAGCAAAATCAGATTTGATAGTGAAATCTCAGCCATGTGTGCGCTGAATCTGCACTCTCAGATTTCTCCACTGGGTTTTGCCTGTTGGTACCAAAAGTTTTAAAAGTACACAAAACACAGAATCAGATTTTAGACCGACAGAGAATCCCTGCTGCTCACTCAGATCATCTGTTACGCCCGCGATTCTGTCCTACTTCATTGAATCTGATTCTGATTCTCTTACAAATCTGTGCCTGCACACTCTCAAATTCTGATATGCACACGGATTTGTGCTTGAAATTTGGTTAGTGCACCCTCTAATGCTTTGGCGGGGCATGAACTTCCATATGCTACTACTACTGCTTGTTTTTGTAATTGCATTTTCTACCTGTTACCATGTTCAAGGGTGTTCAGCAGTTGAAGAACAATAACAAACACAAAGTTGCTCCACAAACAGCAAAATGATAATTTTCACAATGTTGCACCTTTAAAACACAATGAATTAAGAAAAAAGGGAAGAAACCCTGACTATCAGCTTTAGCCTGTTGTTATTTTAAGTGTGTATTTATGAAGCTGATGCCTCCACATGGAGGCAGAGGCCCCAGGGGAGGAGAGCATTGTGGGAAATGCTGAGTTCCCTCGGTCTGTGTCTTTGTCCAGTCATCTGTCTGGCCTGCAGTGATACACTTCACTTCAACAGATTCATAAGGAAAGATGGAAGCGTATAGTAGGGACGTGTAAAGCTAAATCTGGATATAACATGAACATGTAGAGTTTTTTAATGACCATGTGCTTTAGTAGAGATGCTAAAAGCCCTGATTTAGGAAAAAAACGTCAGAGAATAAACCAGAGCAGCCAGCCGGGGTTGCTACTGCCTTTTTCTACCTCCTCTGATCCTCCCACCTCCTCCCTCTGCTGCCACTCTGCTGCTTCTGCTGGCTGGAAGGGAGGAGGAGGAGGAAAAGGAGGAAGAGGGATGCAGGGAGAGCACACCTTACCTCCCTCCTCTTTCTTCCTCCCAGTCTCTGTCTCTCCCTCTTCACTCCACAGCGACAGCAGCACTCACCAGCACATCACAACACAGCACTGCTATCACTGGCACGCTAACACACACACACACACACACGCACACATACACACGCACACAGTGAGCGGCATCCTCAACACAGACCGAGACGCCCTTGGACTGCTGCAGGCGAGGTGAGTGGGTAAATATTTGAAACCTCTGTGTGTATGTGTGTATGCTGTGTGTATATTGAAGTTTTGTAAGTTGTGTTGAGTTTGTGTCCTTTCAGTGTGTAGTTTGTGATTCAGTGTGTGTGCTGTTCTTGTGTGTGATCATGCATGTGTGTGTGTGTCTGTGTGGTTTGCATCTGCTCTCTGTAGGTGTGTATATACTGTGTATGGGTGTGTGTGTGTGTGTGTGTGTGAATTTACGAGGTTCACCAGTGCCAACGAGACTTGTTTTTTGCACCAGACCAAAACAAATCTACAAAATAATGTTGACTCTCTTTCAGAAGTGTGTGTGTTTGTGCAGGCATGTGTGTGTGTGTGTGTGTGTGTGTGCGCGCGTGCCTGGCCAGAGTCTGTTTGGAAACTTCTCAGCTGCTGGGAAATGTGTGTGTGCATGTGCAAACTGGTGAGGTAGAGGCTAACGTTCGTGCCAGTGCTACTTGTCAAAGTGAATTAGGGGATAAAATCTGCCTGTGTTCTACCTGTTGAATTTCATTTTCATTTCACTTGGTGATTTGCAGGTCACAAGGTTAAAACTGGATTAAATGAAACTGAAAAGTAAACGTTTGTCAGGTGTCTGCGCTGCACACAGTCAATGATCAGTTGCATTTAAAAATGGCCAGTTTCTTAGGCCATGTTATCTAAAACTAATGCAGTCTATTTGGTTTCATCAGCCCTGTAAATGACTGGACTCGCAACCTACTGATGAATGAACTGGAAATGTCACAAGTAAACGTAGCTACAACTAAAGAGGAGTTGGCCAAACGTCTGCTTCAGGCTGTCGACTGCCTGGTTAGAATGCTTCTCATCCTCTGTAGACTAGAAAGGTGCCTGTAAAGTTTGCACCTACAGGAAGCAACTATGGTCTTTGGAGAGACTACGATGGGTTCCAGTGATGGCAGTTTTTGATGCTGCAGAAAGACGGTTGAAACATCCATAGTTAATTTATAAACTGCATAATCCACCTTTGTCCATGTTCATTATCACCCAAACAGCTGCTGTTTTGCCTAAATAAAGCTAAATGCACTGGTTTAACAGGTAATAGCATGTTGCTGGTGTGAAGAAGGTCTCGAGTTCGAGCCCCGGCTGACCTTTCTGTGTGGAGTCTGCATGTTCTCCCTGTACCTGTGTGGGTACTCTGGCTTCCTTCCACAGTCCAAAGACATGCAGCTTAGGCTGACTGGCGACTCTAAACTGCTTGTAGGAATGAGTGTGAATGTGTGTGGTTGTTTGTCTACATGTCATCCCTGTGACAGACTGGCGACCTGTCCAGGGTGGACCCTGCCTCTCACCCAGTGTCAGCTGGGATTGGCTTCAGCCCCCTACGACCCTGTTCAGGAATAAGCGGTATAGATAGTGGATGGATGTTGCTGCTGTTTAAGTTTCTGCAGGTGGCGCTCTTTGCCTGTTAAGCCTGGCCAGATATTACTGCTCATTACTGAAGTATTATGTGCTTTACCAATGTGCTATTAAACTGCTCAAACTTCCTCCAACAAGTCTGGTGGTCAGACGAACCACTAATGGGCTCATTTTCCTTCACAAAACCTGCTCGAGTGTAATTTCTTTCTTTTTTTTCCCCCTCTGAGTGAATGTAATACAGATGAACTGAGCCTGGTCGTGCTCCTGAGAAAGCAGAGCGAGTCAAGTACGTCAGAGTTCAGTGTGAGCAATCTAACCCAGCCGTGGTTTGCCTCCAGGGTGACTAAACTCTGTTGACCTCCCTTCAACTTCTCAGACTGCTTTGCTTACTCATCCTCTGAGTCTTTCCTTCTTTCTCCTTCTTCTCCTCCCTCCCTCTTGTCCATTATCCTCTTCCCTCATCTCTTTGTCTGTCTGACCACCTGTCTAGCTGTATGTTTTTAGTATGAGGCTGAGGAGAGCCTGGATCCATTTTCCACTTTGCATGTGTACTTGAGAAGCGACCATCAGAGTAAAAAGAGTATGGCTCATGGGGCAGAAGCCAAGAGGAGATGAGCCTGCCCGCTACATGCAGACATCCACAGCTACCCCACACTCCCCAAGTTTGACCAATATGGGCTCTGGAAGGCAGAAACAGCCACACACTGGGAAATGTCTGATCACCAGACATGTTGAAAAAATTAAAAGTATACAGTGCTTTTTGTACTAAGTAATAAAACTGACTTAACCATCTGACCAACTCCCAGCTGAAACTCTGAACATTACTATTGTGACTTTCTGTTACCACCATGTGAGTGTGATTGTCAGGGTTTAAAGCTGACCTGGAACATCGTCCGTCATCTGGGTAGTCAAGTTAGGTAGGTGTTCATTTCGTTGGCCATGCCTTCGCGGAATCTTTGTACTAACAATAGTATAACTGCTGAATGCACTGTAATCCGTACTTGTGTGTGCCTCTACAAATTGCGTCATTGCGGCTTTTCTAAGGACTCAGCATGTGCTTCTCAAATATTGCAGAGAATTGATCTGGGCAGAGCTCAGCGGGCAGATTGGGTTGCCCAGTAATCACAGGCTTGGCGGTTTGCTCCCTTGTTCCTTCTGTTCACATGTCAGAGAGCCTTTTGGCACCTTGGCTTGTTGTCACTGTGTGAGAGGGAGAGCAGCTGATGGGGGGTACGGTTTGGCTCCTTGTTGTGACAATATGGAGGTCATCATTAGGCATAAAGAAACACGCTGACGTATGTTGATTAAATTGTGGTGATGGTATTTTATTGCTCCCTCTTTTCGAATGCCATGCTTATCCTCTGAGTCCTGCAGCAATGTTCAAAGTAATGAACTCAGGTTTGTCTGTTTGAACAGCTCCATGCAGTTAGAAGAGGAAGCTGTGGTATAGCTGCACTGAGCCAGTCATTTTATTCAGAATGGCTATTTGGATTTCTTACCCATCAAAGACAACGTCTTCATAGTTGCTTCAAGGTTATTTGTTGTTTCAGCCTGATGTTTGTTTACTATCAATTAATCTGCTGATTATTTTATAAATGAATTGTTTGATTTATATAATGTAAAGCTGCCACAAGCTGCCAGATTCCAAGGTGAGGTTTTCAAGAACATCTTCATTTAAACTGAATCCATGTTACAGGGGGCTGACTGCCTGGCTGACATGTATTAGATAATACATGTTCAGTATTGGTCTTATGTATCGGTCAGTCCAACCTCCCCGTGGGCAGATTACTGCTGTCTGTCTGTCTGTGAAGGCTGCCAGTGCTACAAAAACAAGATGGTGAGGCGAGGGGCCCCAAGGAGCCATCAGAGTGGGGACAGCAAAGGGGTAAAGGAGGGGGAGACGGGAGGATGAAGGGACTGTGTTTACTTTGGTCTTCTGTGCCTGCCCTGCCCGACTGGCTGGGAAATGACAGCAAAGGGGAGAAGGAGCGAGGAAGACCCTGTTCGGATGAGGAAGAGGCAACTGGCCGATTCCAGTTTTGTGTGTGTGTGTGTGTGTGTGTGAGAGAGAGAGAGCTGGAGAAAATCATGAAGAGCATAAAATTAAATGATGAAGACGTTTTGTGTCTGATTCTCTGTGGGTGCATGGACTTGGATATGTATGTGCTCTTTTACTTCTAACACTGTGGCAAAATGAGGATGTTTTAATAATGTGAGGGCACCGGTACATTGGGGACTCTCTCACGGGTCATTGCTACAAACTAAGGACCTTTTGGTAAAGTGAAGACAGTCTGGCAAAGTGAGGACACTGAGGTAAAATGAGGACATTTGCTGAAGTTAGGACATCCTGGCACAGAATAGGAAAAGTTCCACAAAGTGAGGCCACTGCTACAAACTAAGGACATTTTGTTAAAGTGAAGACCTTTGGCCAAAACAGTGATTTTGCCAAGTGGCAAAATGATTCAGGTTGACCAGGCTGAGGACATGATTTCAGTAAAGTGAGGACATGTTGGCCTGTCCAACTGTCGAGGGCCATTTCGGGTTTAAAGTTCAAGCTTAGCCTCAGGTTTAGGTTATGGTTCAGGTACCTGTGCTGATGGCGGGATAGGGAGAGAAGTACATTATGTCTAAGATGGTCCTCGAGTGTAGTCATGCAAATGTGTGTATGTGTGCAAACAGCAGAGAGAGAGAGTGAGTCTGTGTGAACAGCAGAGTAAAATAAAGTGTGTGACTGTGTGTGTGTGTGTGTGTGTAGATTACAAACGGTACCTGTACGCGCACATGGCTCAAGCTAAAGCGTGAGGGTGTAGCGTGGCCAGCGTGTATCTGTATGCATGTGTACTCAGTCATGCCGTTGGCTGAGTGTAGCAGTGTCTGACTGTCTGTCTCTCCTGTGTGTGTGTGTGTGCGTGTGTTTGGCAGCCAGCCGAGCTCCAGCTGCGTCTGGTTGGATAATGAAGTCCAGGTGCTGTGCGCCTGCCTCAAGACACCTGTCACCAATATTTAGTGCCAGAGAAAGCCAGACTACAAACAGGGCGAGACAAGCTGTTTGCTTATTTTAACAAGGCTGCCTAACTGGACCTGAGCAAACGGGATATATATGTTCCCTTTCCTAGAAGCTCTGTGTGTGTGTGAGAGTGTGTGAGTATACTATATGTGTGCATATGTGCAGCACAGAGTCTCTAGACGTCGGTCAGTTCCCCTGATTGAGTCGTTGCAGCCAAGAGTGTCTCCCTGAAATTTTGGCTCAAAAGCTTGAATATTTTAGTTGACTTTTAGTTTGCAAGAAAATGCTGTTAACATATACTTGCTTTGTCATTTCTTGAAGAACAAATCTAATAATAATGATTTTAGGTTTAGGCAAAAAGAAGACAAGTTCCAGTCAACAGTTATTGGGGTTGAATGCTGTTTATCTGTGTCTGTGTATGAATACACCTGCAGTTTGTAGGCATATGTTTGTACACTGTGTGTGTGTGTGTGTGTGTGTATATGCATTTTTATCCAAACATGTTTGTTTAAAGTCCAAAGTCTACATGCAGAAAAAGGCTGCAGTTCTTAAACCTGGGTGTTGTGGTATTTGTGTGGGTGTCTGTATGTTAATTTTACATAACTCTTTAAACATGAAGGGCATCTAGGGCATGAAAACACTAAACCAGTAGCATTAAAATAACTATATGAGAATGTTTTTCAATATGATTAAGTCATTTTATACTTAGAAATACGTCAGTGTCAAACATCTGCAGGGTTGAAAGCCCTTAATCTCTATAGCATAACTCACATGTCTACATATCTATTTGTATGGTCAGTATAATCCAGACACTGGCTTCAGTTTGTCATGTAGTGGAGTTACTTTACATTTGCAAGGTCCCACAGGATCCTGATGCAGCTCATCACGTTATGCAGTTTAATTTGTAGATATTTTAAATGTATCGAACTGAGCTCTTTATAGCTGCTGTGAACATGAGCAAGACACAGACTTTTTAGATCCACTGTTCCGCAGACTGTCTTTGACAAATCGAAGGCGTGGTTGAGTCATTAAACTGGTATATAGGACTGCAGAGCCCTTTAAGCAGCCTCCTTTTCCTGTGTCTGTGCCTGGTCGCCTTAGCTTTCACAGACAGACATCTATATTTCCTTACAGTGTGATGCAGCCCGCTGCCTTCCTATAGCAGCACCAAACAAAGGCTTTCCTGTGTGAAATGCTAGAAAACTCTCCTTCGTCCTTCCAGCACATTGGGGCTTGTTTAACTTTCACATGGACACCTCCTCTGTCCAACTCTAGTCTCCAAGACCTGTGGCCTCTCAACAGCCGGTCTGTGTCACCCTCCACCTGCCAGCGCCTGCCCACCATGGACTGCTAGCACGCTCATGTACCTGCAGCTGATTTTGTCAAAGAAAATGCCCTTCACTTGCTGTGCATGCTTGGAAGCCTGACAGTGTGCACTAGGTTACGCATGAGGTTACTTGACGCTGTAATACAGAACATTTCTTTGCTACCAGCTTCATATGAGCTCATTATGTGCAACTCTAACTTGTGGAGTGAAAGCAGATGAGTGTATTTCCCAGCATGTTGGACTCTGTCTTCAAGAGAATCGTCATGTCAAATGTGAACCCAGAGGACCACCATTTATCAAATCATGTAAAATCTTTATGTTTTAAATAGAATACAGCAGCTTTGCTTTCTGCACCTCATTAAGTGCTGGGCACTTGGTCTGCTGCTGTTTTAAATTGTCTGTAATTACTGCTATGTGGCCTGGAATCTTAAATCTTGGATCAACATTGATGTGATTTACTGTCAAACAACTCTGCAAAGGTAAAAGACAGCAGCAGTACTAGCACAGATGTTCTCAGTGGCGAGGGATTTCACTGGAGAGGCAGAAAGGAAATATTACAACCACAAATGTGTTCTTGTGGTGTAAGAAACTCTGACTTCAGGCCCTTCTGCGGGTTTGGAAGCTGAGATGCATCAATTTGAAAAGAGAAAGATATTCTTGAAAAAACACCCACACCTCTCAGCAATCTGCTTTCATCCACAGCACACATAAGTGCCTGGCCGTGAGCTTTTACTGCCACGTGAACTCATTAGTGGTCAGGACATTTGCCTTTGTTTAAAACCCATCACTGGGTGATTCTCTCTAGAAACAGGGGCAGGTTTCTGGCCCAAAGTCCCTCCATTAATCAAAACACTGGCTGCTCTCTGTTTGGTGACAAGTGCTTTTTGTCTGATACTGGCCTGAGTGTTGAGGCGTTGCTGATTTCTGGTATTTGATTGTCTTTCATCACAGACAGGACACAAGGCAGATTTAGGCAGAAACATTGGAGTGGACCTTCACATTTCCCAACATTTTTCTCTGTGTTGAATCAGTCTTGATTAATAAGCACCCAGGGTCCTAGTACGACTTTAATCCCAGGAATGAAATAGCTGTATACTTTATGGAGTCTTCACAAAGGCCAGAGTTCGGTTACAGAACAGAGCCTGCTTGCGGTTCAGGTTCTTGCTCTGGCACTACTGCAGCCACGATCCGGGACCCTTTATTATCAGGCTCTTCACTGCCAGCGATTTTTTTGCCCACACACTGAACCTGTCTTTCTTTTTGTCTCTCTCTCTGATTACCCAGGATGAGGGTGTGGTCATGGCATCAGTGCGGGGAGACAGGCGTGGTCCTGCTGGGCTTCCTGACGCTGGCCCTGTCTCTGGGGAACCTGTCCACCAGGGGGCCGCAGGTACGCATTGCAAATACTGCTACTGTAATGTTACTGAAAAACACGGATTTGGCCATTGTGGTGAGTGGTAAAATCCCAGGACAACACCAAGCGTGCCCAAGTTGAACCAAACCGACCGCCCTCAAGAGTGTGGAGGAACAAAGCAGCAGGAGAGAGCCCTGCTTTATTAGAAACAGTTGTAGATAGAGTTTCTGCCAAGTGTGAGCTGAGTGTAGCTCGCACATGCTGCAGCTCTCTAGAAACTCATGCAGACTAAATGAATTGCAGCATTCACGCCTGTTCACGTCCCCCAGTGGTGACAGAACATGACAGTTTTACCACAGCAGCACCCACTTCCCAAGCAGTGACATTAAAGATGAAGAAAACACAGGACAAAGTCCTGAGACTATTTAGATCAGAAACTCGGTGTCACACCTGGTCTTGGTGATGTCGATCTGTACTGGCTTCAGCTGTTTAGTTGTCTCAACTGAATTTTTAATTTCATCCCAAAACCGGCTATAATCTGTCCAGTGTCTGCTGTAAGTTGGACAGGCCCAGAAACCCTCCAAAGGAAGGTGCCCGGCAGACATCTTATCAGATGTCCAAGCATCCTTTGGGATGGCTCCTTCTGGACTCTGATTCTCGTACCACTGGCTTCTTTTTATGCCAAGGAACAGTGGCTCCGCTCCAAACTCCCTCCAGATGTGTGAGCTCCTTACTCTGCTTCTCAGGCTGAGCCCAGCCGCACTACTCTACATTCCCACAGTGTTCTAGCTATTCCTTTAACTTAAACCTTATTCTAACTACCACCATGTCCCCAGGTCTTAACCCTAAAATGGATGGCTAGTTTGTGGTAAGATGGACGTGAGCACTCACACTGTGACCTAACAGATTAATAAATAAACATACATAATGTACATACAGTAGACACATCTTTTCTTTTTTCTGTAGATTAGATTTAGGGTGAACTGCACATTCAGTGTATGTGTCATCTCATTTTTTCTGTCATTTTCCAAACGAGCATGGCTGAGGGTTGGAACGTAGATTACCCAGTAAATCAGAAGCTTTACCTAATGGCTCAGCTCCCTCCTCACCATTTCATTTCAGTGGTTTGGTGCAGCGTCTGCACTGCACGGGTGGTGCCGCACCAGTCTGCTCTACTTTTGCACTGTTCCCTTACTTTTCTTGCTTCAGTGAAAGTTGACTCTGGATTTTACATAACTGTGATGCTGTTTTGTCCAAGATTGTCTTACACTAGACATTTAGATCTCAAAGTGATCAGTCTGGTAAAAGTGACTGAAAAGGGTGAAGATAAAATAAGTAAAAGTCTGACTAAACTAAAACTATTCTAAAAAGCACACACACATCATATAATACTAAATGGTAGCTAAGTCATCTGGGCAGTGGAGCTGCTGTCAGATCGGTCTGTCAGCCCTCTAGTCATTTACTTTTCTTGTCTCTTTTCACCCTAATGCATTCTCATGGTCTTTTCTTTATGCCCATCTATCTCTCCCTGTCTCTCTCACTTACGCCGTCTGTCTGGTATTTCCAGTGTCTCTCGCCCTCTCTCCCAGCTGCTGTGTCTCACACCTTTACAAGGAGCTCAGTGCACATTCCAGCGGTCACTCTGATGAATCTGTCTGAATGCAGGGGCGCAGCCATTCGCTGGAATTAACGCTGCTCCCGCAAATCAGGAACGTGTGAAATGCTGTCTTCACATGTTGGAGCCCAAGTACAAAACACTGTGACGCTCATTCACTGTGATTCCGTTTGGTTCTGACGCACGTGGCTGTGACGGTCACTTCAATTATACAGCAGTTCCACAGAGCGGAATCACATCAGTGAATAGTACTGATGTTCCTCTACTGCCACAACATCTGTACAATACTAGCCAGTTGTTACAAATGCAGTCACTAGTTCTTCTGCAGCTGTTACGTCCATTAGTACTACTGTACTACTACTGCTGCCACTACCACCACTCTCAAAGATGCTGTAACAAATACTATTACTTTTGAATGACATAACTGTTGGTTATGGTGCCTGCAGCTGCACTGTGACCCACAGTATATAAAAATAAAGCTGGATGAATAAAGTTTTAACAAAAAGGTAATCTTCTTGGATTGTGTCAGAAGGGTTCATTTTTTGCCTAACAAAGATCAGGGGAGACCACCTGCAAAGTAGTGGCCCATGTGAAACCTGGCCTCAGAGCTCAGGCTTGTGTTGTGGTTATGGTTGTGCAGCCACATTCCCTCAGTCCCCAGTGGTGGTGAACCTGAGGGTAAGCAGTGTGCCACTAATCAGAGCAGCGTCATATCGTAAATCAGACGAAATCATCTGTTATTTCAGCACTCGCACACACAGAACTGCAATTGAGCGTGCACATCTACAGAGAAGGATACAAATAAGACAGTAAACGCCAACCTAATTTGAGTCAATAAGCTGAAGAGGTTTGGTTTGTCTGAAAACGCTGGCGGATTCAGATGCACTGTGAAGACAAACAGCTGCTGCTGCAAAAGTCTCAGGCCTCTTTTCCTGCTCCTGCTACAACTGTCAGCTGAACACGGTTTGTTTCTCGTTATGAATATGCTTTGTGTGTGTGTGCAGGAGGAGGGCGTGGGATCCAACAGTCTGGAGGACGAGCTGGAGGTGACCACGTACTGGTGGGGGGAGTGGGCCAAGTGGACGGCCTGCACCCGTACCTGTGGAGGGGGAGTGATGTCACAGGAGAGACACTGTCTCAAACAGAGGTCGGTCACACAGACACACACATGCAGGTTCTGTACATTCTGGGACTCTAATCAGGATGATTCAGGGTTTTTTATTAAAGGTTCATGTGACTTTTACATCAGCTCTGATGTTGGGGGCAGTGCAACTATTTCATCTATAACAAAATGTTATAGATGAAATAGTTTTCTTTTCCCCAGCTGCAGCTCTCTGTTCTCCTGGTCATCCTTTCTTTTCATTGCGAACTTTAAGAACAACATCTTGCTGCTAATATTAGCGCTAGGCTTCGCACACGTCTGACAGATAGCAGTGATGTTATGCTCTGTGTGATGGGACCTGTGTAGTCTCACAGTCAGCAGAATGTGAATGGTCGTCAATGGGCGAAAACAACAAGTATATTCCTGCACAATTTAACAAGTGACACATGGTCTAGTCTGAATTTCTTTGCAGTTTTTTTCTTGATCTCGATCTTGGTTCAAGGGAAGTTTCTCGTCTTGTTATAGAGACACTTTGAATAACAAGACTAATGTCACTGATTGATCTTAACTGTGGGAAATAAAGCAAGAAAGCATATTTCTATAAGTGTTCTTTAATTGAATCCTTATTCTATAACCATATCCTCAGGTCTTGACCCTTAAATGGATAGGTATGGGAATATCAGCCTGAAATTTTCTTATGTCATATATCCAGTATTTATGTCTTTTCTTCACATGACTGGTTTCTGTCCAAAGAAAGAAAGCTGCTGCTGGGAAGGACAACATGACCTGTACAGGAACCGCTAAGAAATATCATCTCTGCAACACTAAAGTGAGTCACAGACTTACAGTTAATTTCTCGTCACTTTATTAAAACAAACGACGACACCTCTGGCTGGCTGACAGCAGAGGACGGTGGCTGTGGCACATGACTGCATGTAGCTTTCAGCAGACCATCCCTGGACAAACAAATGCTGAAAAGGAATCAATTTGTATAACAAATAGTTAAACCAGCAAGTGTGAAGCAGACCTCTTTCAGTGGTCTGTGCTGTCTCTGTGCACTGTAGGAATGTCCTGCCGCTGGGCGGAGCTTCAGAGAGGAGCAGTGCTGGTCCTTCAACTCCCAGCTGTACAGTGGGAGGAGCTACCAGTGGAAGCCCCTGTATCCTGGTAACGCCCACAAAACACCCTGACAGCCTTAAACAGACCTGACCTGTCTGAGCTGCTGAGCCTCAACATGCATCCAACACAGTAGCATCAACAGATTTTGTTTTCTGATAGGCTTTACTGGTCCTGGATCTCTTTCCAGATGTAGCAGTCTGTTAAGACAATGTGCTGTTTTAAAACCTGCTCCTTTTTGTTGTCTAAAAGTGTTGATTTGTTCACCTCATTGGCTTTTATTTGTCAGTATATTAATAAAGACTATAATTATGAATGTCCTAATTAGTTAATTGAAACAAAAGGTTGGATGGCTGACAGTGCTGGGGATGAAGGGGTAAAATAAAAGTCAAGGACGAGAGGAGGTGAATTTGTGAAATATAAGAAAGAAGCTGTACCACGGAGAGTTCTCATCAACTGTGTCCCCACGGAGTCTTTAACCCTTTTCAGCACATTTATTGTTTCTAGCAGCAGCAGGGTAGTGTTTTTAGCAAACTCTACTCTGTCTTGTCTCCAGATGACTACGTTCATATCTCTAGTAACCCCTGTGACCTCCACTGCACCACGACCGATGGTCAGAGGCAGCTGATGGTGACGGCACGAGATGGCACTTCCTGCAAGTACAGTAGCTACCGCGGTGTCTGCGTGGACGGTAAGTGTGAGGTGAGTCCAGCTTCTCATTTACTTTATTTTGTTTCCCTTCAAACAGTTTCACTGCATGACTGAAGTACAGTTTGTACGCTAGCTGTACGGTAGCTAGCTGCCATTGTGCAGTATTATCTTGGTTTTCTGATCAAGTGTAGAAGTGAATGAGCAATGTACAGTATGAGGTGTGATACTGAGCGTGTGCAGCAAAATATAAATGTCTTGTAACCAGAAAAAAAAGTCCATAAGTGTCTTCAACCAGAGACCAGAAGCAGCTGTCCCAGTGCTCTGAGATTTCAAACTTTCAAAGTGTAGATGTCAGATGCACACTGTTCCTTCTTCCTGATGTCTCGTGGTGGTACTTTTTATTATACGTTAACATAGCCGCTGCTGTTGTAGTATCTAAAAACACTAACCTGGTTTATGTAAAAGTTTTTTCCTTTCTTTTAGCGATTTTTTTTTATGTTAACACAATGTTAAATGAATCAAATGAATGTATCATTGCCATATTATTACTAGTTATTTAATGTACGTATGATCAATACTACCTCTTTCTACTTCCTGCTTTGCGGACCAGCCCATCGGATGTGACGGGGTGCTGTTTTCCTCCAACACCTTGGATAAGTGTGGGGTGTGTCAGGGGGACGGCAGCAGCTGCAGCAGAGTCACTGGAAACTTCCGCCGTGGGGCCTCTACTCTGGGTGAGCCACAGTTGTCTTGTGTGGTCCAGCCAGAAGTGTTTTAACAGGCCTGATATGCACCTTTACATGTCTAGAGAGAAATTAAATTGAAGGTTTTCTTCAGTCCTGGTTAAATAAACCACTTCCTGTTCCTTGTCATCAAGGTTATTCCTTTATCACTCAAATCCCCGAAGGATCATGGGACATCCAGATCATTGAGAGGAAGAAGTCGGCCGATGTCCTAGGTGGGTACTTCCTCTTACAGATATGCAACATAATGGGAATATTTAATTTTATCTTTGACTGGGGGGGATTTGCTCTTTTATCTGATTCAAACTGGAATTAGCTGTGTGTAGTGTGTTTTGTGAGAGTTTCCATTTCTCTTGTTCACCAGCTGTGACTGACCAGGCAGGCAATTTCTTCTTTAATGGTGCCTACAAGGTGGACAGCCCCCAGAACTTCCATGCTGCAGGCACCATCTTCAAGTACCGCCGGCCCATGGACGTGTACGAGACCGGGATCGAGTACATTGTTGCCAAAGGCCCCATCGACCAGGCCATCAACATTCTGGTACATCTAACCTCCCTGCATCCACCTGGCTCACCTAGTTAACTCCACCCCGTCCTCCTCGCGCCTTCATCACAGAGCAGCTGTGAAACTCGATGGCTGTTCCAGCATCCACACAGTCTGGTTCATCATATAGATCCTGTGTTCTGACTTTACTGAAATGTTTTAAGATATTTGGTGTTTTCTTGGTTGATATCACAGTTTGATCCATTCACAGCAGCCATGGGTTTCCTTCACTTGTAACCTTTTGTCAGATGTGACAAAAAAGATTTTAAGAAAAATTTAAAGGTAGTTCAGAAATTAATTTTAAGCAATGACAGTTTAGATGGTTTTAATTGGAGCAGACTAAACATGAGGTCAGTGCTTTTTCAGAACCTGACATTTTGGGCATGAAAACTAGACATTGTGTGAAAAAGTAAAATCGGTTTGTTTGGTTGTGGTTTTGTTTTTGACTTTTTGTTTTACTGATCTGAAACCTGTCTAAACTAACCTGACCCTAATTTGACTTACTCTCCTCTTGTCTTTCAGGTGTGGAATCAGAATGGTCGCACGCCGTATGTCACCTATGAATACACCGTCCTCCGGGACTCCGTGCCACCCGTCCCGCCTCCCCCAGTCTACACCGGATCAGACACCTCAGCAGGAGAGGTTTCTGTGGAGGTGGGGCGTCTGCTAGCCCCTAACTGTAGTATCTATGATCAGACGGCCCCTCGGGGCCAGCCGGAACCAGGAGGTGCGGACGGACAGAAGGGCCAAGAGACCAACGAAGTGTACGAGGAGACAGCGGCCATCGACTGTGACCAGGATGGAGCAGCTGGCCCACAGTTTACAGGTATCATGCCTTACAATTTATATACTGTATTAGAGTACTGTGGGTGCCGTGGGTACTGTGAGTACTGTGAGTACTGTGGGTACTGCAGCGCACAGGTTAAAGCGATCATCTGAGATCGTTTTTATTGACTTTGGTAATAAGATGTCAAACAACCAGGTGCAGGGCAACACCATTATCCAAATGTAAGACTAGGTCAAATCCTTTCTCCCTTTCTCAGCTTTTGCCATTTGTGCCACGTAATGGCTTTTACAGGTTTGTGGTAACGGTGAGACAGTGGCGATGCGGAGCTGGAGAAAAGTTAAGTTGATCCTGATCAACATTATTATTTTAAACATTAATATTGATTGGCTGATATTTCTATTTATACATATATTTGTAACATAAACAGGCAGGTTTTTTTTTATTAAATTCACTTAAATGTGCTTATTTAAGAGTAATTGCTAAGATACTGATCTTGACAGTGTTTTGCATTTTCAAGCTACCAGCAACGCAGAGTCATGGTGACATGGCTTCAAATTTACATGAAGCTTTTCTTTTACATGTTTGTTCTTTGTCAGCTTTGTGCCTGGACCAGTATATGTATGATATTTTGACTAGGCTCTAAGAGACAGTGTGTGAGTATAAGGGAAAACCCTGGAAGAATTAGGTTAAAGGAAAAGGAGAGATAAAGTAACAGAGAGGGCCAATCAGAAGGTGGTTCAGTGGCATAGCAAACCAAGCAGGTCCGATTCCCAAGCAGGTCCTCTGTCTCCGCCTCTTTCTGTGTGTGTGTGTGTGTGTGTGTGTGTGTGTGTGTGTGTGTGAGATGGCCCTTTGGAGCTCTGTATTATTCATGCTACACACTAGGGCAGATAAAAAATTAAGCATTTCGTGGTGTTTTCTTTTTCCCTTTTAAAAGTGGCTGCATCACAAACGTGAGCGATAATGGCCTCCCTGTGGGCTTTCAGCTCATTCTGCTGACTGCCGAGGCCATTCCGCCTCTGCTTTGGGTCAGAACACGGGGGGTGTTTGGAAGGCTCACCATACGTCTTCTACACAGGCAGACATCATACTTTCGACCAGATACTGAGCACTGGCTCAAACTTCTCGCCCTGTCCCCTAATTTCTAAAGTTAACTGAATAGTGCAGAGTCACACAGGCTTATTTATCAACAGTTCAGCAGCTTGTGAATTTTACCACTGTGTCGTGGATTTATTTCTACAGGTCATGGGGGCTGGAGACCTCAGTGGTTATAAATGTAAAAAGTCAGAATATCCAGGCCAGGGCTTTGACTTGTGTTCAGACACATCTACAGATACAAAGAAAGAGGAAGCAATGACCAGTGGGAGGCAGAGAAAAGTCAGGTAAACACCCTTTGATGCACAGGTGTGAGACTTTGGAAGAAACGATTATGCTTGTCCTCATTTCCAAAGATAAAGTACAGACCAGAAAACAGCTGCAAAGTTGTCCAGTCCACACTGAGCTTGTAAAGTATGTTCTCACATGAAATCCTGACCACAAGCCAAATCACAGGTTGTACTTGAATAGCAAAGTTGAATTTTCCCACTTTGATTAATCATAAGGAAACAGCAGCCGTACAGGCAGCACGGCCAAGCCTGACCCTGCTGCTGGACCCCCAGATACAGGACCAGACTCCCCGAACCTCATCTGGAGGGTCCTGCTGGACGGCCGGATGAGCCCCGATGAGCTGCTTATTAACATCTCGACCAATCAGCTGCTGACAGATGGAGACAGTTTGTTCTTGTCAGAGGTGGACCTGAGCAGCCTGGTGCGAGACAGCCTGAACGAGACGCTGGAGTTCACTATGGCCCGCAAACGCAATGACAGCGAAGACATTTTCTACCAGAACAAAACAGTGCAGAGCGGTGGGAGGACCTCAAATCGCTCCAACAGAACCAGGTGACCCAACAAAAATCACATAACAGATCATAAAGCACATCAGATCTCAAATGGATTTTAAGATGATGTACAGCAGAGGTCTGTTACTCACAGCTTCAGCCAGGTTTGGGCTCACAAAACACCATTTCCCCTCAGGTTTTTGTCATGCTGGACATCAGTGTTCAGACATTATCAGTCCACTGGGTCTGCTGCTGGCTGAGGGAAACAATCTGCAGGCTGTACAAGAGGCAGGCTGGGTTTCTTCAGAAGACTTCCTCGGGGAAGCCAAAGGAAGTGACAGTGAGACAGGTGGTGAGACAGCAGCACAGGAAAGTAAGCAGCGAGAGTGTGGTAAGGCAGTGGGACAGGCTAAGGGACAAAGACTGAATAGGCAGTAAAACAGACAAAGACTAACAGTAGACAGGTACACTACCAGGCAGTAAAGCAGGTGGACAGGAAGTAAAGCTGTTAGCCAGGTGGACAGACAGACAGAAACGTAGTGATGCAGTGAGACATCTAGACTAAAATGCAGTAAAGGTATATATACAGGGAGTGAAACAGGTAGACTGACTGTCAGACAGGCAGAGAGACAGGTAGGGATACAGAAGACAGGTTGGACATGCAGGGAGATGGGGAGACACAGACAGACAGGTAGACCTGGCAGACTTTGCATTCATCTTATTTATAATTCATGTTGGCTTTCCTGCTGTGTGTCCAAACACGGCTTCACCAGGTCTGCGTCCAGCAGCCATAAAACACTCCATGACACACCCTTTCCTCTGAAACACAGAGAGGAGAGGAAACGAGCAGAGCAGAGGAGCACAGAGGGGAGGAGGGGGCAATACAGCCACACATAGAACCAAATAATTCAAGGTATTTGCAAGAAAAGTGAAAAATATGATGCAAAGCATGCTGTCAGGCTGTAGTCGCCTCTGGAGAGAAAATGACGTGCAGGAACCAGTCTGGCTTACATGGAGGGACGCCGGCGAGGTATAACTCAAAGTGTAAACATCTGGCGGCTGGCGGAGGTGGAGGGAATGACCGGTGTTATGACAAGAATGTGTGCATGACTTTTATTTGATGAGATGAAAAAAAGTGCCTGTGCCAGGATGCAGGCTGTGAATCAGCTGTCGCACTGTGGTTGTCTGAGTGGGTGTGCTTCTGCTGGGTATCCTCAAATGGCCCTAACACACTGTGTCGCTGGAAATCTGTCTGCAGTCATGAAAGGCGGCTCCGAAAGGTTTACTGTATGTCTTGTTTGTGCGTGGAGCAGGGTAGATGCAATCAGCTGGGATCCACAGAGGTTACAATAGATTCTATTGGTGACAAACGTTTCAAAGCTTCCATAGAAACTTATCAAGCTTCTCCTGCAGTAAAACCCACTGCTCCACTGGCACATCTCTGCAGGCACATGTTCAAAATATGCTAGGTGACACAGGGATAGATTCTGCTACAGATGCTGCTTAGGTTTTATACCGTAGTGTGTGTGTGTGTGTGTGTGTGTGTGTGCCAGGGGGAATCAGAGGCTCTACCAGAAGAACCTAAAGCTGAGTGCTGCTGATATGTATCGCTGGAAGCTTTCCTCTCAGGAGCCCTGCAGCATGACCTGCTCTATAGGTACCGGCAAACACACACATATGTGTACTTCTGTCTCTGTGAGGACGCTCATTGACATAATGCATCCACTAGCCTCTAACCCTAACACTTTACTATCAGAACTAAATGCCTAACCATAACCCTGACCTAAACCCAGTTCTAAACTGAATCCTGAAACCAAGTCTGAACCCTCAAAAAGGTGTTTCACAAAGTGAGGACTGACCAAAACGTCCTCACTCTGAAGCAACAAATACTTTTTTGGTCCTCACTAAATATTGCAAGTACAAGAACATACACGCACAGACATTATCCACAGGCAGCTAGATTAGGACACCTGTCATCGGTCACTTCCAGTCAGATCAGACCTGAAACCTGCCAGGCTGCTGTGACACAACTGGTGCTCACACACTGTACATTTACGCCACGGGACTCTTGGTTGAGCAATCATGTCTGAGGTTCCAGCGGACTTGTCAAACAGGTGTGAATAACATTAATAATGTCTGCATTCAATCTAATTATAATAATAAACTTTATTTACATTGCACTTCTTTAAACAAAGTGGGAAAACTAACCTCAGAACTTCAGTTGTTCATTTTGGGTGCATCTCGTCTGTGTTTGTGAAACGCTCTCCTTAACGACAACATATTTCCTTTTTCTGTCTCTTATATAAAGCACACTGGGGCGTTTATGTACAAAATGTGCTATAATAATAAGCCTTACCTTAACCTTAGCTTCCCTTCATCCTGACCCAGGAGTGTCCAAGGCCTTCGTCACGTGTGTTCGTTATGACGGCGTCGAGGTGCATGATATGTACTGTGATGCCCTGACCAGACCGGAGCCGGTCCACGACTTCTGCATTGGCAGAGAATGTCAGCCCAGGTACTATTATTCAAACTACCTCACGGTACCTTCCGCCAGATCTTTCTTGCTGTGGTGAAATCTGACAGTGTACCTGTACAGAACTGACCTGTTGAGATGGGTGTGGTGTTTCAGATGGGAGGCGAGCAGCTGGAGCGAGTGTTCCAGGACCTGCGGGGAAGGTTTCCAGTTTCGTCAGGTTCGCTGCTGGAAGATGCTCTCGCCGGGCCTGGACAGCTCAGTGTACAGTGACCTCTGCGCCATGGTGGACCTAGAGAGGCCCGTGGAGAGACGAGCCTGCAAAAGCCCCGCCTGTGGCCCCCAGTGGGAGGTGGCCGAGTGGACCGAGGTACGAGACGCCTGTCATGATTTACCCTGCTGACATAAGGAGCAGGGAAACCAAGCAGCGGTATGAGGCTTTGCCTGTCCACAGCTGGTCATTGTTGGTACTTTCTTGCAACCAGTTACTTATCTTTGGATTTTACTCGTGTTACTTGGTGTAATTGGATTCTGGTTCAGTTTTATGTTTGAGCAAACTGCTTGTAGCGCAGATGTCCCTGTCACGCCAGGCACAGCTTTATCAGCTGTGTCCTGCAGTCTGGTGGTCTGACTGTGGTCTCTGGTGGACACTCCAGAGACACTTAGCAGACCCCAGAATACCTGGGTGTGACCACTGGGACAGAAATGTACAAATCACTGATCATCCCTTCCTTGTGCCTTCACAGCTGTTCATTTAGATGGAACCAGCTGCTCTTGGTGCATTTCTAAATCAGTGCTGTGGCCGTTTTTAGCTAATTTGGTATTTTCTAGTTTTTTCACAGTCATGTTCTTTGTAACAAAACAAAAGGAGTCTCTTGTGTTGTTACAGCAGCAAAGATGAGTTTTAAAAATACAGTAAACTATACTTTTCCTTTATTTGTCAAGCATGACCTTTAAAACAGGCAGCACATTAGCACAGAAGCAACAGCTACAGCCTACAGCAACAGTTGATATTGAATATATTTTAAAAGTTCATCAATATTCCTGCAGATTCTGAACATCCAGATAAGTTGAACTGGAGCAGTGTGACTTCAGCTGCCTTACACAAGAACACTTATCAGCAGCAGCAATATTGTACCCAGTCTGCAAAGTCTGACTGTTTTCTAAAGGCTTACTAAAGTTTAGTGACATCCTGGTAACAACCCCGCTCCACCTTCACCAGTGTTTAACCCTGCCACACAACACCAGGAATTATTTTAAACAAATGTGTTGGTTATGCTTGTCTCTGTCTCTGTGTAACTCTCCTTGACCCAGTGTCCTGCTAAATGTGGCCTCAAAGCCCAGGTGACCCGCGACGTGCGCTGCTCTGACGAGACCAGACCCTGTGATCCGATGACCAAACCGCCCAACATGAAAAACTGCACTGGTCCACCCTGCGAACGCCATTGGACTGTGTCTGAGTGGGGGCCAGTGAGTGTCTCTACTCTCCACATACACAGCGCAGCATGTCAGTAACAGTCCACCAGTGTTTTATCACAGTTGGCTGCTATCAGGGTTTATTAGTGGCTGTGGACACCTGACAGTTACTGTACAGTTTGTCTTTACAGATCCATCGTTTTCCCTGCTGCAACACACAAACAGCGAAGATGCCTCAGTGACTTGATTTTAGGAATTAATCTTATAATCTGTGTCTGAGTGTTTTTCCTTCATCTGACATTTTTGAGACCGGTACGGTTGTTAGACAAAAGCAGCTTGCGTATCCCAGCTGCGAGAAGCCGTTATAAACGCCACAGTGTGAATTTATGGTGTTCACTGTGTTGTACAGACGGTCTCTGATGTTCCATTCAAAGTCAAGGTCTGGAAACTCCCAGGTCTAATTTACAGCCATGGAGTCCCACTTGGAAAAACCAGGATGAAACAGAGACGGCTAGAAATGTTCTTTGCACACGGTAAAATACGATTCACAAAGCAACAGCTAATGTTGGTATTTATAAAATAACAACTATGAGGTGCTCGTAATGTTGCGGTTCTAAAGTTTTCTGCTTTATCATGTCACTCTGTAAACCTGTGCAAAGCCAACACAACAGCCCTACAGCGTTGGTGATATTGTGCCCTGTTGGTGAAGGAGGATACTATCTGTTGTTGCTCCTCTGAGTAAGGTGGACACCAGTTGGCGTTCATCTTAGCGTTCTCTCACCACAATTATTAAAACTAATAATAATAATAATAATAATACTACATATTTTTTACATAACTGTAGTTGAATTTGTCCATGTACGTAAGTGATTATTGGTTTCATTGTCCAGGTTTTTTGATATTTCTGTCTCTAATTTCAGTGGAGGAGAATGGAGTGTAGCTTATGGTAACTGCTAGAGCCATCGATATTTGTGATGTGTAAACGGATAGTTAGCCCAAAGTGTTCTGGTGTTTGGTTTCACGTTTGTAGATGTGTTAGGCCAAAGTGACCAGGTGTGTTCGGTGACTGTTCACATCGAGCAGGCTGATGGAGTCACTTGTACAGCGAACAAACTTCTCCCCACTTGACTCTGTCCAATCCACAGAGCACGAGGCTTTGTTGTTTGACATGATGCCATTTCATTTCATGTGATGCTTCCTTTACATTAAACATGATCTGACATCATGGGAATTTACATTTGACAAACAGAACTTGGCAGAACATGGCTGGAGGAGGCAGTGATGGAAACTGAGATGCTGTTATCTGTTATGAGTCATGCATTTTGACCTTTGACCCTTGTTGTTGCAGTGTTCAGGGGTGTGCGGCCACGGGAAGACGGTGCGTCATGTGTACTGTAAGACTCCGGAGGGTCGTGTGGTTCCTGAGAACCAGTGCTCTATGGAGAACAAGCCCCTGGCCATCCACCCCTGTGGGGACAGAGACTGTGCTCCACACTGGCTGAGCCAAGACTGGCAGAGGGTGAGGCCTCGCCGCGTGTTCACATGTACTGCTGAAACAAGTAGCTGGGTGATTAGTCGACTGGCAGAGAATAGGTCTGCAACAGCTTCCATATTGTTTTTCTCATGTGTCAATAACTCCCAGGTTCCAGGTCCCAGGGACCCCGAGGGCCAAGGGGCCCCAGGGGCCACAGGGGCCACAGAGGCCACAGGGACCACGAGAGTCTAGGGGCCCCCAGAGGCCACAGGAGCCTCGAGGGTCTAGGAGCCTATAATTACTTATTCACTTATGAATCGATATAACATTTAAACCCAGTTAAATTCCTGTAGGTGGTTCAGAACATTTATTATCCCTTCAGACGTTATGTCAGGACTCCACAGACTGAGCTGCCAGTGACTTTATGTCTTCATCTGAAGTGTAACACCACCTGTGGGCGTGGCGTGAAGCGGAGGATCGTCCTGTGTGTCGGCATCAGTGGAGGAAAGCTCCAGATCTTTGACGACGAAGCATGTGGAGGCAGTGAGAAGCCTGAGGAGGAGAACACGTGCTTTGAGAGGCCGTGCTTCAAATGGTACACCACCCCCTGGTCTGAGGTGAGGTACACAGCATGCACACCTCAACTTTATGCCACCACTGTGGACGGTGGTTGTGTGTGGACTCTGGGGAAGACAAGTCACCCTGAGTCTAATATCTAAGTCTTAAGTCATAGATAATAAAAATGATAATAATAATAATAATAATACTTTATTTGTAAAGCACTTTACAACTCCAAAGGAGCCCAGAGCGCTTCACAAAACAATATATAAAAATAAATGACCAACAACATAAGCAATAAGACCAAAAACAAGAAAAATAAAAACACAAGATATCAATTGAAGGCTAATGGAAGGCTTCCATATCAAATATAAATATAAAACAGCGAACTAAAAGACATCAACGTGATGCCACTGGAGCAGATTTAGCACAAAAAGCCTGTCTAAAAAGATGAGTTTTTAGTTTGGACTTAAAAGACGATAACTCAGTTATGGACTGTAACTCCGGTGGTAAGGAGTTCCAGAGCCTGGGGCCGTAAACGGCAAACGAACAATCGCCCCATTTTTTGTAATTAGTCCGCGGGACAACCAAGGACACGTGCTCTGAAGAACACAGCGCCCCAAGCGGAGTACGAATGGACAACAGATTGGACAGATATAGTGGAGTGAGGCCGTTAATAGACTTGAATACAAATAATAACACCTTGAAATCAATTCTGAACTGTACTGGCAACCAGTGGAGCGAATGAAGAACAGGGGTGATGTGGGCATACTTGAGGGTATTTGACAGTAGACGAGCAGCAGCGTTCTGTACCAGTTGAAGCTTCCGAAAAAGACATTGATTAATTCCGATATAAAGGGCATGATGCTCCACACGATTCTTTTGAGCATCAAACACTCAACAACTTCAGTCTTTTAGACTCACTGGATGTTTTTATCTTGCACCTTCAAAGCGGAGAGCAGCTCTAGTTAGCCACAATCAGCACCACAGGGATTCTAGTATATTCCAGTCCAGGTAAATGGAATAAGACTTATCACAACTTCCATAAAAAATGTATCAGACCATCCCTGCAGCCTAATCCACCTCTCTGTATGTAGCATGTCTAGACATTCATAGTTTGGCTGAATAATGTTTCTGTATGTCGCTAGCAGGGTTAGCTGATATGGTCTGTCATTTACTTTTTAGTCACTTGTAATGCAGAACATGTTTGAAGTTTTGGTCCAAACTGCTGCAGCAAACACAGCCACACATCCTGGACCAGTCACACCACTTCTACACCAAACTGCTGATGTGCACAGAAGGTGTTTGGCTGGCAATGATATTGATCTTCAGTCTTTTTTGGCTTCTAATAATTCATTTTTACTGTTTTCAATACGTAGTGAAAACCCTGACTGACTTCCACATTCCCGTCTCAGACCATGAACGCCAGTTTACATTCCATAATCTTGTTTCATTTCCTTTCTCTACTAAGTTTTCATGGTTTTTATTCAGACCAATAAAATGTCTCTGCACCAGTAAGACCACAAGCTCCTCTTCCAGTTCATCAGTGGGTCTGATTTCTGACCCTGTATGTCCCCAGTGCACTAAGACATGTGGGGTGGGTGTGAGGATGAGGGACGTCAAGTGTTACCAGGGCAGACAGCTGGTCCGAGGCTGTGACCCCCTCACCAAGCCGGTGGCCAAACAGACGTGCACTCTGCAGGCCTGCCCCACTGAGCCGCCAGGTACCACTCAGAGCGCACACACACACACAAACAAAGGATGGTTTAGAAAATCTGGTAACAATCAGTGTTAACGGGAACACGGTCTATGTGGCTGTTTCCTGTGGTTCCTGTGTTTACCCCCTTTGGACTTCACAAAGCTTTAGGAGATTTGCCACCGACATGTTGCTGTGCTGCCATCGCGTTTCTGAATCTCTACAATGGAGGAAAAGACCCCAACTGGAAAATATTGGCATTTCCTTTAAATGTGAGAACTTTGTTCTGTTTTTTGTCCTTGAAGTTTTAGTAAAGAAGATAAGATGCATATGCACAAATCATATACTATACCGTGTGCACATACACACCAGAGCGTACACTCTATACGACAGCCGACTATTCACATTTAGTAGGGCGATCCAGACATCCTGCTCTCCAGCTCCTCCTGGCAGACCCTGAACCCTTCCCAGGCCACGTGCAGTAGTGATCCCTCCAGCATATTCTTGGTCTACCACGCCACCTTCTATCAGTTGGATGTGCCCAGAAAGCCTCCAGCAGGAGGCGTCCAGGAGGCATCCTGATCCGCTGCCTGAACCACCTCCACTGGCCCCTTTTAGACGTGAGGGAACAGTTGCAGAGCTCCCTCTGGATGTCCGGACTCTGCCCCCTCTCTCTGAGGCTGAGTCCAGCTGCCCTGTGGAGGAAACTCACTTCTGCTGCCTGTATTCATGATCTCATTCCATCAGTCACTACCCAAAGCTCACGAACAGGTGAGGGCCGGAACATAGACTCACTGTTAAATTGAAGGCTTCGCCACATCAGTTCAGCACAACACTTGCATTACTGCTGATGCTGCTCCCATCTACCTGTCAGTCTCATGCTCCGTTTGACCTTGAGACTTTCCAGGAGGTTTGTGGTCCATTCTGTTTTCTGCTCAAAATGGTGCCAAACAGAAATGGTATGAGGTGTTACTGAACCACTGAGCTTTGTTTTAATCATTTTAAAAAAGTAAAGTCTGCATGTACAGTCTCCGTAAGAAGGACTGGTGCTATGATATTACACCCAGTGTGTACCCATGGGGGTGTTGGAGGACTGGACTGAAAAGCCTGAAAGTAAAGTGCAACGTGGAAGTGAATAGCCACCAGCTTGCTTTATTTTCTGAGGTGGTGCATTTAATTCTTGATCTCTTCCCTTTCTATATACATAATGAAATTAGTTGAAGAAGTTTTTCCTTTTGCCTAATTTGGCTCCTAAATGACGTAAGGTTTTGTAGAAAAACATTTACGTTTCTAATAGTGCGTTTTTTCACCTGGCTCTAGGTTTAGATGGTATTTTTTTGCTAACACGTGTAACCTGTGTCCTAGATGAGAGCTGCCAGGATCGTCCCTCCACCAACTGCCTGCTGGCCCTGAAGGTGAACCTGTGCAGCCACTGGTACTACAGCAAGGCCTGCTGCCACTCCTGCCGCGCCGTACGACCTCCACCTTCCTAGTAGAGGACGCCACATCCCCCAACCCGACTCTTAACTCCAGCATGAGGAAGCACGTATGTTTGCTTGTACAGCTGTTACTGTGAGCAACGACAGGAAGCTAAAAGTCAGAGCTGGAAGTGCAGAACATCCTCCAGTGGCTTGGATTCATGTTGGTCCATTTGTCTTATCAACACAAAACACAACAAACATCCTGTCAGTCCAACCAAAACACTTTCTTTGTCACATTTCTTTTCCAGTTTATTTTATAAGTTCTCTCTCATTTCTGGTTTATCTGGGTTGGGTAAAAAGTACATGTGCAATGAAAGACTGTGAGGCCACTGCAAAGTAAGCCTGAGACCTTGTGTGCACCGATCGTTCTCTCTTTTTTCATTTGCCTGTTACAGTTTTTTGGTGCCAACTGAGTCCGGCTGGCTCTTCCCCTCACAATCCTCCTCATTCTGATGATGATATCTCCACCACAAGCCCTGCATGTCACAGTCTAATGGCCTTACAAACCGACCTGCTCTTGTGTTCATCGCTGCAGTGAAATGATTCATTAAATTATTTCTCAACTGAATATACTGCATGACTAGAATATTTAATACTGTTTATGAAGTCTTATTTAATTGTGTTTCGGGTTGGCGTCTGGTGTGGCCCAACAGGAAGTAAAAGGTTTATATTTCTCTTCCGCACGCTGCCATTTGGCACCATGCTGGCACGCCTGCAGGACGTGGAAGCATATTTATTAGTCATAGCACATTTTCATTTATCATGACACCCCTGACGCCAGCCGACGGGCACTCGTCGGGTCAACTGATGCCAGTTCTGCTCTGTGTGTGACAGATACAAACACAGACAGACAGATTCCTGACACTTGAAGTATGGTTGAAATGTATTCAGATGTGTACATGTATGTCTCTTTTTTATCTATTGTGTACTGTGTTTTTATATAACTGATACCTCTTTGTACAAAACATAAGTATAGAGATCGTGTACTGTTGATAAACTGAAAACCTAAAGGTACTGACTTGTATTTCGATTAAATAACAGTTCAAAGGAATAGTTTTGCCTCTTCGTTTTTATATGAACTGATCTATTTTTTCAGTGATTGTTGATCAGGAATGTTATAGATATGAAAACAGTCGTCAGTTCAGGAATTCAAACCAGCAGCTCTATTGAAGTAACACGTAGATGTTTTAAAGGTGGTCAGAACCGAAAAGCCACAAAACAGAACACAGTCAGTTCAGACTGGACTCTCTCTGCTGTTCGGCATCGGTTTTCCTCCAGAAAGTATTTGACAGACGCCAAACTGTTTTGCACCATTTTATGAACACAGTAAATGAAGCCACTTTCATACACAGAGCAGCTACAGTAGGTGAAGGTTCAACAGCAGCTGACGCCCCCTGCTGGTCAGCGTGACAGCATCAAACCTCTCATCGACATAAATGCAGAAACATCTGCTTTGAAGCAGAGGGAACAAACGCAGCAGCTTCAGTCTTCTCTACAAAAGACAATGTGAGAAAAAGATATTGAAAGCAGTTCTGAGCTCAGGAGCCTTAAAGTGTTGAACCTACAAATTGTTGATATTGGAGATCAGGTGATTTTTAATTAAATATAACAAATCAACACTGTACAGAGTGAGGGAAGAAAAATACACCCTAGTGTGTGGACACAGAATCATACTAACATGAATTAGTCGTTAATCATATGTTCTCTAATCAATAACTATTGTTCAGAAATGATTCTTTCTCCCCACGACACCTGCCAGGTTTAGAAGAAAACTGATTCAAAGTTGGTATGGTTCTGTTACAGTGCATACCACTGGCTTTAACCTTCCTAAGCTATGCACACCTGCACAGGTGTTCTCAGTTAGTTTGGCTGATTGTATGTTGACTCAGCCTGTCACACCTGCACAGGCCTGAGAAGAGGTGTAACCAGGCAGAACAAGTGAAAACACCTGCGCAGCTTGACCACGTTGTCCCAGAGCTTCAGCTAATAAACTCTAAAAAGGCATTTAAAGACACTACTTAGCTCATAGGAGGTGTTAAGTGAATGAATTACAGTTGGCTCTGAACCAACAAACGTTTTAAATCACACACTTGTACAGTATGATTCTCCACTGCATGAATGTCCCAGTCAAGTGGTATCAGGAGCAAACTGTAAAAATACACACATATATTTTATATTCAGAGGTTTGGTTGTGCACAAATTATGAATTTCTAAAAAAGGAAATTTAAACAAAATCAACTGAAAAACTCCAGACTGAGGGAACAAACTGGCTTCAGGCTTTATTTTTTTCCTCAAATCACAAACTGTCAACAAATCCCACGAAAAAGCCAAAAGCAAAAGCAAGGTCTCTCGGTATTTAAGGTTTTCTACTCTATCTGCAGCTCTCAGCCTTAAGCCCATTGGTTCCTAATGAAGACAGAAATCTTTATATATACAAATATACAGTTTTATAAACTGAAAAGAAAAAACGTTGTCGTTTTTATCAAACATTAGGAGATAACTGTGCATGTGTTGGGGACTATTTTCAGTGGCGGATGAATCCACATTCGGTCTCTAGTGAGTATTAGTGGCAACAGGACAGTGCATATGGGGCTGAGTCAGAATAAACTACAGATGCACATGTTTGTGGTGATGAAGGAGTGTGTCATTCAGTGCAACACACTGGTCAGTTATGAGTTTTAATAGCTTCTGGACACAGTGGAGCTCTGTGGCTCAGAGGGACGAGAGATATCAGGCTGTGAAACCCACACTCGACTTGTCAGTCGGAGGCATTCACTGCTGGTTTTTGTGTTTTCATGGGATTTGTTGACAGTAAGAAAAGACTCATTCTTTAAAAGACTCGATTAGCCTGAACCGCCTGTTAGCTAGCTGGCTAACTAGCAATTAGCCTCATTTAGGAAGCTGAAGTGGACTCTAAAGGTTTTATCTCTATTTATCCTGTGTAGTGTACACAAACTCACAAAACGTGCTAAAATTTCTGACAAAAGCTCAAATTTTAAATAGTCTTATTTATACTTTTATACGCATGTATTGCTACTTAACTAGCTGCTAACTATGATTGGTTTTAAGTCAAAGCTGACAACAGATCGTCTCTTCAGGTCTGAGAACTAAATGTTCAGAAACACATTCAGCTCTTCACAGCTGCTCCTGAGGTGTAGACCTTCAACATGGCTGCCTAGAGAAGTGTCAGATAAAAGCCCTCAGTGTTGCTGTTGATCAGTACAACACAGTACAGCAGCCAATAACTTTTGAATTTAGTGTGTTTGCAGACAGTACCGAGTCAGAGCAGACTGAATAAATCAACATTTCTCAGGAGGGCCACAGCCTCCACCCTGTCTGCTCCTAGACGTCAGTGCTGACACTGTGGGTGACCACCTCCTTCATGGTGACAGAGCGGATGAGGTTGAGCTTCTGGTAAAGGGCAGCCAGGTCTGCGGGCAGCTCCAGGCCCTGCTGCACAGTCCTGTAGTTGATCCTGCGCCCACTGTTGCACAGCCTCTCTGGGCGCTGCAGGTAGAAGGGCAGCGAGCAGCGGGCGCAGGAAGGGCAGAAGGCGTGTGGGCGCTGGCACCTGCGTGGCGGGGGTGTGGGGGAGTAGCAGGCGGGCCCATTGGCCTCTGTAAGGAAGGTGGGGGGGTAGGTCTCTGGCTCATTGGTGTAGTGCTCCGGTGTTGGAGGTGTAGGAGGAGCAGACAGAGCCAGGGGGTGGGACGGCGACATGCTGCCAAGCTCTGGCTCCTCTTCTTCCCCCTTCTCAGACTCGTCCCTCTTACAGCAGTAGTACTGGGGGGGGTTAAACACAGGAGGAGAGAGCTGCAGGTCTGAGTCGGTGTGAAAAGTGATGATGTCCTGTAACGGTGCCTAAACTAAGGCTTCTATAAACCTCATAACACCAGTGACAGCGGGACAGGACGTGGTGTCTCTCAGCTACGTTCACTGATGTTTACTCACTACAAGCAGATACTGTGTAAAACCCTATGACATATATTGTCAGTAAACATTTTACTGAGACATTCAGTATCAACATTTTTACAACTTTTCTTATGTATTATTGTGATGAAGTTTACAGTCTCCTCATCGCTCCACACACATCTGATGGTTTTGTCCCTTCACTGGATGTTTAAGTCATGTGCTTCATCAGTCTGTTTTCACTGCACTTTATCAATAAAACAACATTTCCACCTCAGCAAATGTAAAAACATGTTGCAATTTTTATAAAAATCCACCTTTGTGTTTGTATGTGCAAACTGAAAGTGCACGTAGGAACAGGCTGATGGAAACACACGTGTTGTGCAGGTTTCTCTTACTGAGGTTACTTTTTAAATAACCTTGTACAAAGAGTATCATTTTTAATTTCTGAATCAAAATCAGTTTTGGTACCTTTTTGGGTAAAACACTCAGTGTGTAGTGAAGAGTGAAGCGGTCGTACCTGCAGCCTACATAAACACAGTACAGCGACGATGGTCAGTAAGATGACTGTAGCCAGAATTCCTCCTGCGATGACAACTGTCCCAGCTGACATTCGAAATCCTCTCCATCAAAAGCCTGCAGGGAGGAGGAGGTGGAGGGGGGAGACGAGGATGAAGAGTAGGAGAGATTAGAGGGGAGATGAAGGAAAGTGTGACGGGGGGAGAAGATAAACAAGAAGAACACAAGGAAGAAACAAGATGAGGTGAAGTAACAGAAAGACGGAGAAAGGAAGACCAAGAAGATGTGTGAGAGTGAGGAGGAAATGAAAGGTGGAGAGAGGGTGGAAGTTGTAAAGGTGAGTAGTGGGTGATGAGGAGGGAGTGAAGAGGAGGAGAAGAGATGCTGTAAAAGTTTATGACTCTGCTGTTCAGCTCCAGAACATTTAAACTGGCTCCTCCTGCCAGAAGCTGTTACTGAGAATATTACTGCTTGGAGCGAATGGATTTTTACCTTCTCTCTGCTCAGTGCAGTAAATTAAGCAGAGTCAAAAATGAAGCTAAGCCAAGTGTAAATATGAGCAGGTCTGCTCTGATGATGAAGAATCCCATACATGGTCTCGGTAATGAACATGTGAGCAGCATCATTACTGAGCTTCACAGGCTTGTGTTTTCTCTAAGACTCTGTATCACTACAACAATGTCAGATTACAAATCCCCTACCACGTTGTTTTCTTAGTCTTGTTCTTTTTTTGTGGCATTGGGTGTCAGTTTTATCATCAACTAATTTATTGTACAGAAGAAACAAAGTGGCATCAAGTTCGATGGGCCAAGAAACCAAGAACCGACAGGGGCTGGAAACCAACAGCTTTCCCGGATGAAACCTCTTTATCAGGAGGTCAGAGTGAAATCTTATCACTTTGATGCTTCCAACACAGTTTTGGTAATGATTTTTCAGTTCATCTTTGGGTTTCTCTTCCAGGTATGTGTGCCTGACCTCGAGGTTTAGGTTCTAGCAGAGGGTTACAGGTGACGATTGATACCAGTCTCATGCCTGTGCAATAAATACAACCAGTTAGCTTAACTATAAACTGGAAACTGGGAGAAAGATCCAGCCTGGCTCTTTCTACTAGCACCAGTATCCTGTCACCAAGGACACAGACAAATATCCGTGGATCACTTACTGACAAAAACCTTCCAAACTTGATGATTATGAGTTCAGATCTGAAGTCACTTTGCTGTTATTTTTAAGCAGATGTATGGATGCTTACCTGCTTGTCATGGACACATTTTAAAAGATTTAGAACTGAATATAACTCTAGTTTATGGTCAGTGTTTCTCAGACTAACTGCATTAAAAATATAACTATTTGAACTTTAAGGCATTTGGCTGAGTGCTCCCAGTGCAGCCAACAGAGCACAAACCTCCACCAACACCTGCAGAGCTGCCAGGACTCTGTGCTGGTTTACTGTTTGTCCTCCTGCACTTTAGAAAGAACAATGGTAATTGTAAACTGATTGAAAGCTCTGCTCTATATCTTCAGTGGTAAAGAATCAGCTCAGGCACAAAGAGACGGGAACAATCCTTCATTCAAGTTCTTCAGTGAAAGTAACAAGGTGAATTTTCAAAATGATCAGCATTAAAAACTAATTCTTTAAGTGCTCCAATAATATCTATTTGACTCTGGAGAGAGAGAATGGGAAAATAAAAGATAAATGTGGGAAAAAGGAAGAAGTAAAGAGAAATGGTTAAGGAAGGACTGATACAAGGTGCATGTGACTGACAACGAGTCAAGAAGTCTGTTTTTTCCTTTAAACTACATAACAGACAGACATTATGCCCTTTATTATTTACCTTTCTTTCATGTTTAATGCAGTAAATCTGGTCCCAAATGTCTGGCTTTGTGACAAACAGCTCCAGCCCTTTCAGGTATGGAACTGACATTTGTTCCTGATCATAGATGTCCAGCAAGAGTGGCTGCAGGTGAGACACTGACCTCTCTGTCTCTCTCTCTGCAGTCACAGACTGAAATCAGCCAATATGTCTTTCTGTTCTGTTTTAATGAGTCTGCCGTGCGTAAAAGTGAACAACACCGAAACAGATGCTATTCACAAATATCGTTCTATAATATATAAACCATGGTTTTTCGAAACCCAACGAGCCCTTCTAAAATAATCACATGTGTAAAATGTCACAATTTAACGCCACGGTACAAACCACTGTGCACAGTTACACCCACTCTCAGCGCACCACTCAGACACTTCCATATCTTACCCATCACATTAGAGTTTAAACTGTCCCATGGCGTCTCCCGCGGCACCTCCAGCTCGGGGCGCCCCGGTGCGTGCGCAGAGGATACGGTTCAAGCAGGGAGGGATGGGGCGAGACGTCTAACTCTCACTTAGCCACTACGTTTTATATCCACACACACACACACATCTAAACAGCTGGAACAGTAGCAGTCGAAGTTTGTCTCCGCGCATCAATGAGGAGAAAAGGTGACTTCAGATTCTTTGCCTCCACAGACGCGTGAACGCAAATCTGTTAAAACGTGTGGATGTTGGCGAGAAAACGAGTTTAAACGTTCTCAGTGTGGAACCGATACCTGTCTTATGGTTAACTTTCCATTAAATTAGGTGCAGCTCTCTGCTCCAGAACAGTCTACAAACCGGTCTATAGCTATAAAATCCCAAATATGTCTCCTCCAGGATCCTGGTCCGCAGGTTTTTTCTTGGCTTTAACCCGAACAGAAACAGATCCAAGCTGATCCGAACACACAGAGGGGGACAGTTGTTAGGAGAGAAGCTCGGGTCCGCTCAGACTTAGTTGTGTGTCTGTTATGCGCACCGGATCCGGGCTCGTCCTGCGTGCGTTGCGACGCATTCGTTTCAGATGCTGACCTTAGACGATGTGACCGTGCGTCACAGCGGCGCGCTGCAAAGATAAAATGCCTGAAGGCTGCGTCCACGTCACCTCACATGTAATCACAATAGCCTTTTACTGAATCAGTCATGCTGGCGTTAATGTTCAGGATAAAATTCAAAATAGAGGCGGTGCCTCCGTTTTACTGATTAGGGAAAATAATGTTTTACCTCTAGATTCTCTTCCTAAACGTCTCGTTAAGACGTAAAATGCTCGATAGCTCTGACTCTGAATAGCAGCTTGGATGTGGACAGGAAGGAACGTGAACTGGTTTCAGAAATGCAGTTTATAGTATATATAAACTACTGCACGTGGCCAATCAATCACGTGTCTCCTCTGTTGCCCATAATATATGGCAGTTATTTTCCCACTGATGTCAAATTTAAGGTAGAACATTTTAAAAGGTAAAATTAACCCTTGTGTTCTGTTAAGAATCATAAAAACACTAGTTCCACAGCAGGATGTAACCTCTGAAACCAGATTAAAGCTGTAGCCCCTGTACAACACCTGACCAAAGGTAATAGTTCACTTCATTTACACACCTGAGACTGAAGTGGACATTTACAAGTAAAAGCATTAAATCAAAATAGTCCCACTGTTTTCTGAAGCATCTGATATTCAGAAACATGGTGTTTGGTTGCTGTGTTGCTCCTGCTTCTCTCTGTCTCCTCGCTCACTCCATCGCTCTACTTTGAGGAGCACTAAGAAAAGAGAAGTTTAAGGCATCTGTGAAAGAAAAGGTTTTATTGTGTGAATTATTTAGAGGTTAAAGCAGTGTGCTGCCTGTAATATTAATGAGTGGAGACATTAGAGGTTATTTCTCCTGTGCCCTGCTGCCCCTGTCATGTTTCATCATCCAGCCTCTCCCCGAGGAAGCTGCAAAAACCAGAACTGGTGCAATCAAACACCGACTTCTGTTAGGATTCTTCACTGAAAGCTAGAAAACCAGAATCAGCGTTGGTAGTTTACAGACTGAGAAGTGAATATGGGGGTTCTGTGTTGGGTGCATGAAAAATAATAAAAACTGGATCATGAGAAGGGTGGTGCGGTGGTTAGCGCTGTTGCCGCTGTTCTGGGTTCGAGCCCCGGCCGACCCGGGGTCATTCTGTGCAGAGTTTGCATGTTCTCCCCGTGCTTGCGTGGGTTCTCTTCGGGTGCTCCGGCTTACTTCCACTGTGCAAAGACATGCAGCATAGGTTGATTGGCGTATCTAAATTGCCCCTAGAAGTGATTGTGTGTGTGAGTGCTTGTTTGTCTGCGTGTTAGCCCTGCGATGGACTGGCGACCTGTCCAGGGTGTACCCTGCCTCTCACCCGCAGCTGGCTGGGATTGGCTCCAGCCCCCCGTGACCCTGTTTGGGACTAAGCAGTATAGAAAATGGATGGATGGATCGTGAGAAACAAAAGTAAACAGTAAATAGAGAATGTGCAGGTTTTAAAGTTACCTTCAACCTGCTGAAGTCTATAAAGGGTTAAAACTGCTCACAGACTGTCAGCTATGAAGCCAAGTGTTCTGCTTCAACAAATGGTGTGATGTGTTTTGTTTTAGGAAAAAACTAGATGAATATCCATGGTTCTGGTTACAGTGTACCAGCCAGTGGTCTCTATACCAGCTAAATCCACCAGTTTATCTGTTTATTAGTCTTGTTTCTCCTGCATCAGCAGCTGTGGACCTGACTACACTGCATCCTTTACTTTGATGGTGCAGCTCGTCATCATCATCGGCCCACTTCCACCTGCACCTTGCCAGATTGTCCATTGCAGTTGGACTGTACCCTTCCCTGGTTTCTCCTGCCCATTTTGGAGCTTTTGCTTGTTTCTAGAGTTGGTGTTTTGCCTTTTTACCTGGTTACCTGCCTGCCTGTTGCCAATCATTTGACTTAGGATTAGGTACCAAAAACTGCCAGATAATTCCTGATTCATATCATAATATTTCCAGTTGTAGAACACAAAGTAAATGCTTTTACAGCTACTTCTATATTTGAGAATTACTCCTCAGAGTTATGGATGGAAAACATTTTGGTATTGAGGTTGGTACTAGTATAGTCAAATTTTAAAAGATGTCCAGTCCTACAAAAACTAAATCTAACCAATCGGGTCTTAACTTGTTCTATAAGTCTAAGTTGAAAACAGATATTTGTAGTAATCCTGTAAAAACATAATTTTCCCCCTTAATGTGGTATAATAATGGTGGTTTTTGCAGATCTGAGCTGTGGTCTATGTATCTTGGTTTTTCTGTCCCCCTCCTCTTCTCAGAGCCCGTCATGTGACATCGCTCAATAAGGCAAACGGGGGCTCGGTGTCAGGTGTACGCTTAGCATTGATTCTCCCATCAGACCCATGGATTAGCTTCCAGAGGGCATGGTCAGGTAACAGGTTGGCTCTGATGAAGCAAAGTCTGATACAGATGAAACCTTCACTGTGTGAGCAGCAAGTGACTCTGGACTGAACAAGAGTTTCCCAGAGGAGCCTGAAGGAAGGTCTTCAGGAAAATGGGAGGATCAGTATTAACTTGTTCAATATGATCCTGCAGACGAGTCATCTGAAATGTTAGAAAAACAAAGGTTGTTTACTGTAAGTATCAAAACCATTTTCAGTTCTGGACAATGTCAGTTCGGGTGAGGTTGGACCCAATTTACATGCACCAGGAGAGGAGCACAAAGGAGTTTATTTAACACACACCACAGGGCACAAAGCACCGGACTTGTGAGGACAGGCCAGTTGGATTGGTCAGGCAGGGTGGGCAGGAGGTCGATGCAGGAGGATGGAACCAGGAACGACGTGGAGGTGCTGCTGGGCAACTGTGAGACTGAAGTGGTGAAGTGGCGGCTGAGCAGGCAGTGGCTGGACAGGCAAGGCAGGACGGAGCAGGCAGTGGGTGGGGAGTTGCAGGACCCATGGAGCTGATCTATGGGTCCCTGATCTTAACAGTTTCGTTTTCGGTCTTTGTGGCTTCCCCTGTCTTGGCGGCAAGCGCTGATTGTGGCTATTTCTTGATGAAGGTTAGTTCAGTCATCGCTGGGGTCAGTGGATTATCTGTTCTGAGGGGGTAGAGGCTGCAGCAGAGGCAATAGTGGGAGGGGGAGGGGGGTTTGACCTGTTTGCATTCACAATCTTAACTCTACAAATGAAATAAAAGGCCAGACCATGTACTTAATGTAGAATGCACTCCTTTAAATCCTTAAACAAATTTTTTTAGGAAGTGAAAAGAGTGAATAGACAAGATGGACTACAGGGCCCCCAAGGGTCCGGGGTGCCAGGGGCCCAAATGGTCTGGGGACCCCCAGGAGCCAAAGGGTATAGGGGTTCCTGGGGCCCCCAGGGGACACAAGGGCCCCAAGGGTCTAGGGGCACCCAGTGGCCACGAGGGATTAGGGGACCCAGCTAACTCAAGGCCAGAGCCTTT